GACGGAGTGCAGGATTGCGCCAACGCAACAGTTCCTCTTTCCCATCTTCGCGGAGGGGCTTTGCCGCCCACTCTGCCGAGCCGCCGACGTGTCCTGACGCGGTCCGATCCGCCCACCCGATCGGCCTCCCTCCTTGAAGGCCTGCAGCTCCTGGAGCGTGCGGAGAGTTCTCCCCGACGACCCCGACACAAAGGAGATGGGCGCGCATTTGAACAGGGAGAGCCCCAAAACCCATGGGTTTGAATCGATTGTCCTTCCAGGGGGTCGAACTGGGAGAGGTCTCCTTATCTTAACATACACTGTATACTGATGTTTGGCCACAGCGATCAGAACATGCGATCAGAGCTGATACTTTGCGGGTTTGGCAACCAGCCACAGCTCCCACCCACGTCAGGTGGAATCTCTATGCCGAACGCAGGGAAGACGGGGGACCCCCGAAGAACCGATGCAAAGCTCTGGTTGAGCCACGAAGATGACTCGAATGGACTACCAAGGATGTCACCCCACCATACTTCTGGAAGTACCCGGTAGCTTGCGGGTTCTGATCCAGAGTCGCCGCCCCCTTTCATTCCTGCCCCTTCACCATAGGATGGGGTACAAAAATATTGGTAGTGAACACCAACATGCTGACTACCAAACGAACCAAAAAAGACGGACCAGAACACGAAACAAATCCAATTATATACAATTACAGTATATACAAAGGACGGGAAGTGGCATTAGCACGGTTTTGGAGGTTGGCATTTTGACCCACGCCCACATAGCAACCTTCCTTTCGCACCCAACAACCACCTGTGCTTCACCAACAGCAACACGTCCCCCGCACGACGCAGCACGGCTCCTCTTCCAGTGCCGCCACACGCTCCGATTCTCCGGCAGCAGCTTCCAGAACCAAAAGATCCAGCGCATCGCGCGCCTCTTGCTGCGCAGCAAGCAAGGTGCTCTTGGAGCTCTCCAAGTGAGACAACCTCGTGGCAAGTGCACTTGGGCTTCCAGAGCTTGCACTCTGAAAAACACCACAAGCTAGTCTTTTCGGCCAGCTGCACACTTGTTTTAGACAAATTAATCATTACACGCGTCCTTGCCAGACTTTCTCCAATCCGTGTGTACCGGAGCGAGTCACCCAAAACTCACACGTCTCAACTCGGACCCCGCGGAGTCAACCAAACTCAAACAAACAACCCAGATATAGCCAGCTTGGAGAAATATAGAAACTATCTGGTTCTTGCGTAAAATCGAACTGCTGGTCGCCAAGACACGCCGAAGCCAGCTCTGATCGATCGATCGCATCGCTCTTGTCGCTGCGCCGCTGCTCCAAGACAGCTCCTGAGCTGTCCAAGAAGGGTGGGTGTGGAGGGTACATCTGCTCTGTCAAAAGACACGGAGGTCGCCCACAGGCTTTCGCAGGCTTTCACCCCACTGCACTACCAGCAGGAGGACAAGAAGCCTTATATATATACAGCAAATGAGATTCCAATGTTTGGAACTCGGTGGTTTCTTTTTGCCCGAAGCAGAATGGGGAAAACGAGGAAACATGGCATGATCAAGGCAATGGAAAACGAGGCAGTCTTCCCAGACCAGTCTTCCCAAGGGGGCGACTCTCTCTCTCTCTCTCTGAGGCAACCATCCGTTTGGGCTGTTCTGGCGCATGGGGGGGGGAAGGATGGCAGCACGGAACCTCAGATACCATGGATTCATGGCACGGAAGGATGTGTTCATGAATGCACGAGGTCTTGGAATGAATGCATCCGCACCATATTCGGTACTAGTGTTGGCATATGTTGTTGATACACCACCCACACACACACCCTGGTTTTAGACTGTGCCCAAGCATCTCAATAACAAACTCGGGTGCGTGGCTGGCAGGTTGGCATGAAGAGAGTTTGCATCCCCAATGTGGGTGACATAAGTTATCCAAGTGACACCTGGAACCTACCAAAGATAATGATACACCCAGGTCAGTCCTTATGTCCAACTTCAGCAAAAGCTCTGCTCCTTCTGAACTTCAAGTGGTTTGCTAGAAGAGAGGAAGGCCACAGGCCAGCTCCATCTCCACCCCTAGCTTTCAGGTACCAAGAGACCCATGTGCAAACGAGACGACCAGTCGCCCAAACGACCACTTGCCGGTGCAGATCCCGTCGACTTCACACTGGGTTTCACCGGTGCCAACACCGCCAGGGCACGCGTGGATCTCATGGCATCCGCTTGCATCACGCTCAGGCGGTTCCTCCGTGGGAGATCGACCCGGAGATCGTCGTCGTCGTGGCGTTCGGTGCTTTGTTGGAGACCTCAAAACGAAGGGTTCGGAGCCTGGTCTGTGGTGAGGGGATGTGTCAATTTATAGGACTGAAAAAAAGACATCTCTCTTGGCAGGAGTCTGCCATGCCGCGCTCTGAACCAGGAGACATCTGCAAATAGTGTTGGTCCTTCTGGAACGTGGCGTAGACTCGGAGCCAAACCCCCGCGTCCAGGTCACGCGCCAACTTCACGCAGCGTTGGGGACCCATTGGTTGGCTTAAGAGGGGATCCGCAATTCAAGAATCGGTACTTCCAATGGGTCACGGAGCTACTGCGGGAGCCACTTCCGGCGGCTACGAGACGAGCGGTCGCTGCGATCTTCCGGCATCCGACGTTGAACAAATCTGACCTTTGATAAATTAGAAAAACTCTGTCAGCATGTTCAGTCCTTGGCCCTCTGAGTGGGCTCGCTCATTTGGAGCTGCTTGTTTCAATCTGTCCTTTATCCCCCCGGGCACCCCACCTGCTCGCCCTGCTCCGCGCATGGTGCGCGGCTCCCGCTCCGCCGCCCTCCATGCCCGCAGAGGCGTCCTTGGCCGAATCCGAGGCGGCAAAAGCGGCCGCGGGGCCGCGGCGCGGCGAAGCCAAACAGACCGTTTTCATGGACACCCCAAAAGACCTCTAAGGGGCTATTAATGGACACCCGGAATCCGTGGTGTTGGTTGAGAAATGGGATTGCAACTGAACACGTGATCTGTTGAGATGGCAACTGAGCGCCCTCTTTGAGAATAGTTCTTGTCATGCTGACGAAGCAGAGTTGCCCAGCATGAATTTTATGGAATTTTGGATACGTTCCTTTGTTGCGCACCCTCGCCATTCGGAGTATGCATCACCATCGAGCGCTGCGTATAGTCTGATTCTGTGGAAGTTGAGCCAATCTTGGCAGGAAGGGAAGGAAGGAATTCTGAGCGAATCATCTCCCTAGACCATTGACCATCTTTTGATTGCAAGATGTTGGAAGGATGAGTGGAAGAGTCATGTTCTTCTCAAGTTCCACAACATCATTGGGAAGTTCCACAACATCGTAGGGACGTGTGTCACTTGTGTCCCAGCTTTTCTCGCATCTTCTTGCTCTCCTTGTTCTTCAAGCCTCCCAAGCTTCGGGGCGCCCTCCAAACCTGGAGCCTCGGGTCTCTCCAATCCTCTTAGTCTGTCCCTGACGAGCCACTGGCGCCGCATGGACCTCGATCTGGGCCTCCGAAGCTGCCTGGCCGGCGGGCGAGCCACTCACGGTTCGAATTCCCCTCGACCGCGCAAGGCATTGACCGAGCGCAAGGTATGGACTGAAGGGAATTGCTGTTGACCTGGTGCCCCATTCCAAAGAAAGCGGAGCTTGTAAAATATTACCCAGTTGACTGCAGCAGTCGCCTCTGTACATGTTTGACCCTTGAAACTCCCCTTTGGGGACAGGCCCAACATGCAGGGGCCCAAGGCAAGAAACTACGTCGGAACAAGTAGTCGTCAGTAGTGTCTTTTCGAAACAAACACCAGAAGGGATGCGATTGCCATCTGTTAACTCGACATGTCTGATGGTCTTTTAGGGGGCCGATGTCAAGGAGAACAAAATCCCTCGGAGTCACCTGAGCTTCGCCCGCGGGCTCCTCTTCCTTGACATCATGGTCCATGGGCCACGGTGGGCTCCATAGATGGCTCGGCGGCCCAACGGATCGATGCGCAAGGCCCGACGGATCGTGCGCGTGGGGGAAATGGATGCAAATCGACATCTTGCATGTGGCGACCCAAAAACAAACAAAGAAACCACGGAATCTTGAGTTTAGGGAATCTGGAGGAGGGATATCCTCCACACACCAGCTAAATGTGCAAGGGCTTTGCTGAATGAGCTAGGATCCTTGCAGAGATACTCTAGCATTGAGTGACGTCTTGGTCAGGCTGCAAATACTTCGCAAATTGTTCCAGTTCTTTTCAGAATTAAATGGCTGCAGGGCCAAACGCAAAGAACAAGGAACTCGGCGAAGGACACCAAACCCTTGGAGACCGTGGCAGGAGCAAACACAAGGTTTGTTGCCCCTCTTTTCGTTGTGGGTGTACGCCCCAAGTGCAACGAAAGGGTCAAATCTAAAATATTCAAAAATGGTTAACGAAAGGGAACAAAAGGTTGTCCAATACATTCTTCTAAGAGATTCACTTGCTGTCGTTCGGTTCGCAAAAAAGGATTATCACGTAGTTGCACAACTCAATCCCACACGCCAATGATGTCTCTCGATCTAGATGGTGTATCCAACGTATGGAGACCGGCACCCGGCGTTCCGGCCCCCCGAAGCTGAAAGGTGTTGGGAAAGAGACCCAGTCTACCCAGTGATGGCGCCCCCAGCCAGGGCCAGGGGGGGTTGCTTTTGAAACACACATCAAATGCTGGGCCCAGATGTGGGGCGGCGAAGAACATCGAAGAACATCGAATGGCCAGGTGAAGGGCGACCCGATTTGACCGTCTGTCGAGTTTCGACTCGCACAGAACATGGGCACGCGCGCACGCGCAGACTCGGCCACTGGAGCCATCCTCAGAAGACTATATACGCTTAAAGTACAAACAGACCAACACACACTCTGGATAAAGCCCGTACAATTTTAAAAAAGGTCTCCCTACGATTCCAAGGGCTACACACACATCCACATGCACATGCACAAAAAAAAAAGAAACGCCACTACAACCACCACCCTGCAGCCGTTGACTTCTCGGACTCCTCCGGTCTCATTCTCCCTCGGCGCGCGGAGGATGGGCGTTCCGCGCGAGCTCGGCACTCCTGGGAAGGTGGAGCGAAAAGCGCAAAAAGAAGTAAAAGTGTGTTCAAGTGTGTGGAAGCGGTTTTGGTGTGTTAAGCACATATGTACCATCTTACATCTTCTTGTTTAAGAAGGAAGAGTAGACTTTTAACAATAAGTGGTATAGGAGTGGACCGGAGTCTTGAAACACGAGCACAGCCGCCGCATGAAAACATGTTTTCAGAAATGCTTCATGAAATTGGTTTAACAGATTCCAACAATTGAACACAATTGTTGAAACCGTGTCCAACATCAAAAGAATATTGCACCGTTCTTCCTTGGCGTCCCCATCGCCGGATGTGTTGAAAACATCCAGTTGATATGAACCCTTTCAAAAGAATCCATAAGAGCTATTTGCTCCTAGTAGTATGGCCAGGAGCCCCTAGTGACGTCCTTGCTCCTAGTAGCGATGCCAGGAGCCCCTAGTAGCTTCTTGTTCAACATGTTCGTCAGGTTTCACCTCCGGAACCTCCCGAAAAGGACCGGGCATTCCTGTGCGCACCCTCCGGTAGGCGCTGGGCAGCGGCAGCATGAGGTGGATGGAACGAAGGGAGTCTTTTTATGTCTTTTTGTGTGGCCAGAGATGCCAAAGAGCCTGGAGTGCCTGGAGTCCGGTTGCCAACTAAAACGATTGAAGGGACTTGTCGAGCAGTTCATGTCTAAGTCCTTGTGAGGCACTTGGCCCCCCCAAGGGATGACTTCTGGCAACTTTGTTAGGAGGCGATGAAACCGATACGGGGCCGCCCATGTCTCCAAATGACTGTGTGTCCAAACGATTCGACTCTCGAGCTGCCTCGCCCAAGCTCGAAAACTCGAAAACGCGGGCGGTCAATGGCTGCGGTTCGGGCGCGTCGCCGGACTGAACCTGGGCGATTCGCCACCGGACTCAGTGGAGGTCAATCTAGGTCTACGACTGGATCACTGGAGGCATCGAAGAGCCCAGTCCGGCTCGCAGTGGTGGTTCTTTATACACCGCGGTTGCGCGGTTGGAATCGAAAAGGAGAGCGAATTGAATTCAGAGCTGGCGCCCAAAAAAATCCCAAGAAATCCGGCCCCAGGCCATGTTTCTTTAAAGCATTTTAAAGCCTTGTTTGGGCAAAGATCTCTAGAAAAGACGCAAACATGCGCAGTTTGCGGAGCACCTGGTACGTTGGGCTCAAAGTCCGAAAGAAAAGACCCATGACGTGGGTAGAGGACGCTACTAGGGGCTCCTGGCATCGCTACTCGGAGCGATCGGACGCTACCAGGAGCTTTTTCGAGCGGAGGCCTCTTCTCGTCTCTCCTCCCGCCTCGCCCACCCAAGACGTTCGAGCGGCTGAACCTTCTTCTCCGCCGTTCGCTGTTCGCTGTGAAAGGCGCAATCAACTGCTTGGGGCCCGGAGAAGGCAACGTGGAGAAGAAAGGCCCCCTTTTGAGGTCCTAAGGTGAATTCCTGGTGGATTGCTCAGAACTTCTCACCCTGCTCTTCCCACCAAAGGCTTCCCAAGCTTGTGCAGGGAATTCGGCATGGATGGCCCAACAGCACTGAGTATACGAAGGTCTTTTTGACAAATATGCACCTGTTCCTTCATATCATGATCACATGTAAATTATTCACCATCTCTTCAACCTTCAGATTCTATCCTGGTGCAACGCACCTGCAACCTTCAGGTCTCCCTAGCAGTGCCTCGTTTTCGCCCATCCAGGCATCGCCCATCGCCGGGCCCTCGCGATCGCATGGCTTCGATGCAAACCGCGGGCTTCGCTAGGACTGGACCGAAGTCTCAGTCTCAGAACAGCAGATGATAGGCGGACATGAGCACCAAACCTTCCAAGCCAGCCTAGGAAGGGCGGGGGAAGGACCAGGACGTCCAAGAGCCAAGAGGGATCACTCCTTTTTGGAAGGGCGGAGAGAACATCCACCGTCATGCAGTGCTGTGTCCTACAATACATCACAAATCTGAAATGTTCAGGAGCCCACTAATGAAGGACCTGTTCATAAGGAATTGGATCATGCCTTGTCACTCGCTATCAATGGAAGCAGGCCACACCCTTGCTCGGGCTCAGGAAAAACCGAAGTGCCTAAGGAGGGAAGGGAGGGAAGGGAGCGATCTGTAGGTGGATGCCCCCTCTCCAACCACCTCCAACCACTCTACAACGACAGTGAGATACAAATATGCCGCATGATGGCACCCTTTTTCGGACTGGCACCCCTGTCGTTCCCCCACTTCTGAGCACGGAACCGCTCCAATCATGTGCAGCATGAAACCTCGGGATCTGTCGGGCGAGAGCCGCTCGGCCCAAGGCCCGAGCCGCTCGGCCAAAGTGAGTTCAGAAGGATCGATTTCCAGGACACCCTGTGGCTCCGACGTCTGGGGCTCCAAATCTGGACCCACAGAGAGATGCTCCGACGTGCACCAAGAGCCCCACACGGTGAACACCCGGTCCACACCACGATCTTGGCTTCAAGATGCTTCAAGCATGGCAGCTGTGGTACATAGACTCCCTCAGTCTCCCAGGGAAAAGAATGGTTGAACTTGTTCCACCCGTTCGTGTTTCCCCACGAAGCCAGTCCTCAAAAACCCTGCAGGTGATCCACTGAACTCCTGGATACGAAGTAACAGTTACTTGGTACATTGCTTGCGCAGCTGCGCACCGGGCTCCCAAAACCTATCTATGCAGGTGCTCCAGCCACCTCATCACCCTCCCGCCGCGGAAGCGGCGGCTGGAGCCGCCGCTGCTCCCACCGGGCGGCCGGGTGCATGCTTGCCATAGCTCGAGGCATAGCCAATCTGATGGACGATGCGGCCCAGCAGCAGGATCACCTGCGAGCTTCGTTCTGCGGGCGAAGCCTCACGCGAATCGCGTGTCCTTCGGAGTCCTTCGGGGAAAGGAGTCGGTGCGTGTCGCCTCGTTCGGACCCTTGAAGGGCTCTATCACTGGAAACGCATTGGGCGTCAAAAATCACTGGAGGGCATCTGCCATCTCAAACTGCTTGGAACCAGAAACTCGTCCGAAACTAAAGCTACTGAGCTACGTGCACATCTTCAATGGTGGCCTTCCATTCAAAACCAGACACTCCCAACCAGACACTCCTTTTGAGAAAAGCATGCCATCATTCCTGACCACTTCCGAGTCGAATCAGACGTTTCTTCCGCTCAACTGCATCTTCCACTTCGGCAGGCTCTGGGGCCCCCGCCACCAGCACAGCAGCAGGGAAGGGGAAAACGTACCCCGCCAGGAGCATGCAAAGCATCGCCCCTGCCGTGCAGGTGGTGAAGATCGATCGAAGGATCTTGGCGAACAGCCATCCATTCTGCATGCTGCTTCAATGAATTCTTTGGGTCACCCAGCCCTACCTGACACCCACAGGACCCAACTGCCTCAACTAACCAAACCAAAAAAAAACATCCACCGAATTGGTCCCTGACCACCCTGAGCCATCCTCCATCGCGTGGCCTGCGGAGTTTTCCACGAAGTGCCCCAACGAGCGGTTGGCACGATTGTACTCGCCCACAGGGCCATCTTCCTGCAGAGGACCGCCGGACTCGTCCTGAGATGACACAGACCCCCAAAGTATATATCTTACGTATTACATCTATTATTCATTATATATACACAGTACATGTGTGTATACTATATATACTGTATGTATTATATATCTACATATTTATATTACAGTACTAGTTTCTCTTTCCAAGAATGCTGCAAGACGAGCCACATTCACATGGACATCTTGACACCATGATCTCTATGAATCCCGGCCAGGAGCCAGGGTGATTTTTCGGCAGTGTCACTCTGCAACTCGTTCAGAATCACTTCAGAACACTTGTTCCGCCAAAACGTTGTGACCCAAGGCCCCACCTACCTCTCGAAAAATGAATTTTTGGGTGGTTTCTCTTGCCAACTTCTCACCAGCTGTTCGAACCTGCTGCCTTTGAATTTTTTGGCAGACACAACTCCACCCTCAGCTATATCAAAGCCTCGACTCAAAAACATGGCTGAAAATCAGGTCGACCATGTTTGGGGAGAACAAAGGTCTGTTTGGTTGAGTTGGTTCTTCAGGCTACCAGGGTCCCAACATGCCAACCCAAAGAAATCCCCCGGCTCCTCTAAGATCACTTGCCTCACCAATTCCGCACGAGAGCCCCGAGATCCGAGATCCGAGTCGCCGGACCCATGTGAGGCATGCGCAGGACCCGTGCATCGACCCACTCGAGGGCAGTCTGCCCCAGACACCACCCTGGCCCACCTGGGCCCTCCAAAAAAAGCCAAGCATTCGCGAGAAGGTTCGTGAGGTTCGCTTCGCACCATGTAAGAAAACAGGACACCTCCCCAAACTGCCATGCGTTTGGCCCTCAAAACGGCCAGGGTTCGTCAGAAAGGGAACACCTCTTCACCCCCGGTGCCCTTCACCGGGGAGCGTACCGGGGACCGTTCGGCGATCCCCCACACCTGACCGGACGGGACCCGCGCACCGCAGGAGAGGGTGGTCTTTGTTTCGATGCTTTGGTCACCCACGGAGGTGGGACTGGGTCAAGTGAACTTGGTCCGGGATGGGTCGATGGATGGATCCAGGATGCCTTTGGAGAGAAAAGCAAACCGCCTTTCTTTGGGCACCAAGGGCTCATCAATCACGCAAGAACCGCGCGATTAAAAGTCCAAGCACAACATGTGGTTGGGGTGTTTCGAAGCTCTTGAACTGCGGGATGATTCCACTTGATGTCCGCAGGTTCTTTGAACTCCGCATTCTTTACTGTCCCCGACTCCACACCCCAGCTGAGGCCCCCCAGCTGTTTACTGTCCGAGCCCAGGGTTCGGTAGATCAGCATGTTGGCCCTCAAGTTGCCTCACGAAAGAATACCACCGCCCAGTGAGTTACCAAAAGGAGCGGCCAATGGGTGACATGTAGCTGTAGAACTGTAGAACCATGAAAAGCAGCAGGTGTCCGCTACTCAGTCTCATCGTCATCGACAAAAAAACACAACCCTCTGATATTTTGTTTGTTTTTCTCTGCCCAAACATCTGCAAGGCAGGTCCCAACTTGTCGAATATGTCCCTGCAGCAGCCCAGAGTTCAGGCCCGCCAGGAGGAAATACCATTTGGTCGCCAAGTCGCCTGCATCTTGTTTCATGATCTTGCCTTTGTAGACCATAGGGAACCTCACAACATCTCAAGAGCGCAGGTCCCCAATTACCATCGCACACAAAATGTGGCTCACTCAGTTCCTAGCCCGTTGAGAATTCACGGGAGGAAAAAAACTTGCCCACTCAAGGCAGGAGGAATCCCAACCAAAAGTAAAATCGTGTTGAAATCGGCCAAGCAGCACATTGATGAAGTGGACCATGAAGGAGAAAAGGTAGATGCTCACAAAGAAAAATCCATAGGCATCCTAAGAACTTCACTTCTTGTTCCAACCGACTCCAGATTCACACGGAGAAATCGACTCGTCCGACATGGCGTCGGCAAACCCTCAGCAACCTCAAACAACCCATCCGAACCCCGTGAACGGGCCACAGCTCTGGAGGATCCTTCACATGTCCACAACAGGTGTCCAAAAACATTGACATGTATATACAAAAACGGTAAATAGTTATATGATTACACATAAAAGCAAAGGAGAGTGCTTAAGAACAGGGGTTTCAGGTGATGGCAAGGTCGTAGCACATGGATCCGAGAAGGACCAAGGCACAAACAAATTCGACAAACAAACAAACTAGACGACGAGTGGCCCGAAAGCATTTTTCATCACGTAGGAAGTCAGAGTGCGAGTTATCCGGTAAGTGTGCGGTGTGAAGTGTTACGTAGGTTTCCTGCTAGTAGCTAGTAGCTTAGTGGCTTCAGCTAGATGTCCACACGTCATGAACATGTGAAACATGTGACGTGAACGGGTCAGGGAGATTCTCGGTTGCGGAGAGCATGCCCAAATTGGAGAGATAAAAGGTGCCCAGCATGATGTTCGATGATCTAGGTAATCGACATAGGTGGAGTGGAGTTGATTCGGCGAAACGAAACGAAACGAAACGAAACGCGAAACGAAACACGAAACGAAATACGAAACTAAACGAAACGTAGGTTCCCTGGTAGTAGGTTCTTGTTCCTAGTAGTAAGGCCAGGAGCCCCTAGTAGCGTCCTTGTTACTAGTAGCTTCTTGTTACTAGTAGCTTCTTGTTGTCAGTAGTACGGCCAGGAGCCCCTAGTAGCACACGATCAATGTATTGAACGTTAACAATTCTACGCTCCACTTGTGAACGTGGCCTGTAAGTCCAGTGGCAAGGACGCGCGCGCTTCGGCTTTTTGCCACATGGGAGCTTTGACTTTGATTTAGCATCAGGCAGTTGGGCCGCAGTCGAGAACGTTGGTCTGCGGATTCGATCTGCGTACTAAAGTTGTACTACCAGGTCGCCAGTTCTCATCTTCCAGCTGCCCACCTACTCCGCATACTAAGGTTGTACTATAAAGTCGCCGGTTCTCAGCTACTACCCACTCACCAGTTCTCATCTTCCCACTCCCCAGCTACTCTGCGTATACTACAGTTGTACTACCAAGTCGCCACTTCTCATCTTCCAGCTCCTCCGCTACTCCGCGCACTACTAAAGTTGCACTACCACGTCGCCAGTTCTCAGCTACTACCCACTCACCAGTTCTCATCTTCCCACTCCCCGGCTACTCTGCGTACTAAAGTTGTACTACCAATACTACCAAGTCGCCACTTCTCATCTTCCAGCTCCCCCGCTACTCCGCGCACTACACTTGTGCTGCAAAGTCGCCACTTCGCAGCTACTGCCCACTCACCAGTTCTCATCTTCCCACTCCCCAGCTACTCTGCGTACTAAAGTTGCACTGCCAAGTCGCCAGTTCTCATCTTCCCACTCCCCGGCTGCTCTGCGTACTATATTTGTACGACCCAGTTCTCATCTTCCAGCTCCCCAGCTACTCCTCATACTAAAGATGTACTCCAAAGTCGCGAGTTCTCAGCTACTACCCACTCATCAGTTCTCATCTT